ACCCAACATGATGACTCTATTCCGAGGGGCCACCTCAGCCAGCGCCCGTGACAGGAGGTCATAGAAGGCACCCGACTCATCGGCTTTGCCTGCATCCCTCCACGGATGTTCGTCTTCGGTGGGGGCAAAAGTAACCACGACCACCATTCCTCGCCTCCGGTTGATGGGAAGGCGAGCCCAAAGTAGCCTGTGGCTTACAGCTTCCCACACCTCACCGCCACGCTCCCACGCCCCCTTCATTCTTTTGTTCAAAAGAAGAGCCACACCCTGTTGTTTGGCAGTCTGCTGCCCCGAGTAGAGGACTGTCCACCCCTCATGGTGGCAGGAGCCAGAGCCGGTCCACCGGACCCCCCGAATGCCGCATAGATCCAGGCGGCACCGGTCCAGCCCCCGACAGAGGAGTGGCAGCCCCTCCTCCGCAGCGAGCGTTCGAACACTCCACGTGGCCACCCGTAGTGGCTTTTCGTTGTTTCTGGAGGAGCCCCTAGGGTAGATATTCAATCTCCTGGCTCATGCAGCTATAACATATTTCTACCCAACATATGCACTGTTATGTATGCGGCTATGTGGCCGGGCGTAGGACAGCATTGTGTCCTGTGTGCTACTCAGCAGGTTGCTGTCTGACACAGAGATACACAGAGATACATAGAGATACTCACAGACAGACACACAAAGATACATAGAGATACACAGAGATGCATAGAGATACCCACAGACAGACACACAATGATGCACAGAGGTACATAGAGATACTCACAGACGGACACACAAAGATACATAGAGATACACAGAGATACATAGAGATACTCACAGACACAAAGATACATAGAGATACACAGAGATACATAGAGATACTCACAGACAGACACACAAAGATACACAGAGATACATAGAGATACATAGAGATACTCACAGACACACAAAGATACACAGAGATACATAGAGATACATAGAGATACTCACAGACACACAAACATACATAGAGATACATAAAGATACATAGAGATACTCACAGACAGACACACAAAGATACACAGAGATACATAGAGATACTCACAGACACACAAAGATACAGAGATACACAGAGATACATAGAGAGACTCACAGACAGACACACAAATATACATAGAGATACACAGAGATACATAGAGATACTCACAGACACACAAAGATACATAGAGACACACAGAGATACATAGAGATACTCACAGACAGACACACAGAGATACACAGAGATACAGAGATACTCACAGACAGACACAAAGATACATATACACAGAGATACATAGAGATACTCACAGACAGATACACAGAGATACACAGAGGTACATAGAGATACTCACAGACAGACACACAGAGATACACAGAGATACAGAGATACTCACAGACAGACACAAAGATACATATACACAGAGATACTTAGAGATACTCACAGACACACAAAGATACATAGAGATACACAGAGATACATAGAGATACTCACAGACACACAAAGATACATAGAGATACACAGAGATACATAGAGATACTCACAGACAGATACACAGAGATACACAGAGGTACACAGAGATACTCACAGACAGACACACAGAGATACACAGAGATACAGAGATACTCACAGACAGACACAAAGATACATATACACAGAGATACATAGAGATACTCACAGACAGACACACAGAGATACACAGAGATACATAGAGATATTCACAGACACACAGTGCGTGTGTACTGTGCGCGCTACTCAGCAAAGAAGCCGTCTCAACACCAACACCAGCGCCATTCGCCACTAAGTGACGGTGACGTCACCATGGCGTCTGTGCCAGGCTGGGTGCACTTTGAGGTCACGTGACAGACCCAGCAGGTGCCATGGGTTGCCTGACTGAGATGACCGGTAGATGCACCACCAGCTGTACCCCCTACTGTGCCAGGCTAGGTGCAGGAGGTCACGGGACAGACCCAGCAGGTGCCATGGGTTGGCTGACTGAGATGGACCGGTAGATGCACCACCAGCTGTACCCCCCTACTGTGCCAGGCTAGGTGCAGGAGGTCACGGGACAGACCCAGCAGGTGCCATGGGTTGGCTGACTGAGATGGACCGGTAGATGCGCCACCAACTGTACCCCCCTATACTGTGCCAACCTGCTGTATTTTATCTGCCTGGGGCTCCGCTCGTTGTTGTGAGCATTTCTCCTTTGTCCTCTGTTGTTGTTGGGAGGGTGACTCCTTCCAATTGCCCAGCAGCGTCCTTCACGAGCCTCCTCATACGGAGGCCGATCTCGACACCGCTGGCATCAGCCGTCGGCAAGTCCACTCAGCTCCACAGCCTCCCGTACAGCTCCATCGATTCTCCAGTCCGTGTAGTGCCGGTTTTAGCCCCCTCGATCCGGTCGAGCGGGCTATGGGGCCGTCCATAAATGACGTCACGCGATTTTGGACGATTTTTGACCCCCCCCCCCCTTCGTCACTCGGCGTCACAAAAAGTCAGACCCCCACCCCCTCTAATGACGTCACAAAGCCCTGCCCCCCCCACAAAAAAATATAAAACATGCTTCAAATCGCTTTAAACTATTGTCATTGTAGTGCGTATTTAATGTGGCGCTGACACTCTGATGTTGCAGAAAACATTTATTAAAGCGTCTATTCAATTAAGTAGAACGTGTTGTCTATATTTATTTAAATTTGCGCATTCTGATGTGACGTCACATTTCTCAACCCCCCCCCCCCTCCCCCCATTGTCACACATCGTCACAAATGTCTTCCACCCCCCCCGCTCTCGGTGTGTGACATCATTTATTGCCGGCGCCTATGTGAACCCAGCCAAGGCAGCCTTGCCTCATCGCCTGCATGGCCTTCTGTGCGAGTGCGATGTCATCCAGCCGAATTGCTTCAATACAAGAAAAACTCTGGACCAATTTCGACAGTGTCTGATCGGCAGTCAGGATTGCTCGAAAGCAATTAACTTCTTTCGCACCGTACGTAGCCAACCGTGCTAATCGGAGGTGCTTGCTTGGGATGACTTTTAGTATAATTTCATTTTTCCAGATACATCTGATTTCGGATAAATTGGGCAAGTTCCACAGTTTATTAGATTTTTTTGTACATAAATGTATTACGTCTTAATAACTTGCGAAATGCAGTCATGTTTTACGTTTCGCAATATTCATCAGCGAACTTTACCATCGAGTTCCACCAGCAAAAGTCATGATTTTAACGTGAAAATTTTAATATCTTGAACCGTTTGAGCAACAAGGGGCGTCACTGCGACAGCGCATTTTGCGAAAACCAAACGGCGTTGACGCTGTGGAGACGGTGCCACTTCCTGTGATGGCACACACGCGAGTGATGTCACTTCCTGTGATGGCACACACGCGAGTGATGTCACTTCCTGTGATGGCACACACGCGAGCGATGTCACTTCCTGTGATGGCACACACGCGAGTGATGTCACTTCCTGTGACGGCACACACGCGAGTGATGTCACTTCCTGTGATGGCACACACGCGAGGGACGTCACTTCCTGTGGTGGCACACACGCGAGCGATGTCACTTCCTGTGATGGCACACACGCGAGCGATGTCACTTCCTGTGATTGCACACACGCGAGCGATGTCACTTCCTGTGATGGCACACACGCAAGTGATGTCACTTCCTGTAATGGCACACACGCGAGTGATGTCACTTCCTGTGGTGGCACACACACACGAGTGATGTCACTTCCTGTGGTGGCACACACACATGCGAGCAACGCCACTTCCTGTGATGGCACATGCGAGGGATGTCACTTCCTGTGATGTCACACACGCGAGCGATGTCACTTCCTGTGATGGCACACACGCGAGTGATGTCACTTCCTGTGATGTCACACGCGAGCGATGTCACTTCCTGCGATGGCACACACACGACCGATGTCACTTCCTGTGATAGCACACACGCGAATAATTTCACTTCCTTTGAAGTCATCGGTTTCGCGGCTGCTTCCGGGAACATCACATTTTAGTAATCAATCCAAATCAATGCGATTTTCCAGATACACTTTTTTTAAAGTAATCTCGGCCCAATTTTTGTCTCGGATGCAATCCAAAAATTATGAAAGCATCCCTCAAACTGGCCTACCCATCTTCCTCTTAAACACACGTTGTCTCGACATCAACCGAAGTTGCCCCAACATTGCAGCACGTTTACTGGACCCTTTATTTGCAACAGGGGCAGAAATCGAACCGAGGTCTGTTGGTAGTATTGAGCAGCACAAGGACCCACCACGATACGGGTTCTTCTTACAACACACAGCCACGCGATGTAACACGCGGTAAAGACACAGATCCCCTGCGTGGCCTACGAAGGCCATTGGGGGCGAGCACTTGTCAGCGAGCACTTATCGACGGCCGGCGTGGTGCACGAGGGGTTGGTGTGGCCAGGCCTCACGCCCAACCGCCTTTGTCTCCCCAGTGGTGATGTTTTACACATTCTACACACCGCACCCAGGTACTCGCTTGATGGCGAGTCGACCAAGATGGGGCGCAAGACCGGTTCAGATATCACTTGCCACCAATGTTGGCTGTTGCTGGGAATTGAACTCAGGTTGCCAGGGGGACGCAGGCTGCACTGCATGGGAGATATGCGTCTGTTGTCTTTAACCGCGCGCACGCAACAACAACAACCACCGCCATTCGCCACTAAGTGGCGGTGACGTCACCACGACGCTTGTGCCAGGCCATGTGCATGTTGAGGCCACGTGAAGTGTCGAACGCCCGCTGGCACGGTTTCAACTGATTGAGATGACTGGCTGATGCACCACCTGTGCCCCCTACTGTGCCAACATGCTGTGCGCGCACGCCCACACACGTACACACACGTACACACATGTACACGCACGCACGCACACGCACGTGCACGCACACAAACGTGCGTACACACAAACACTACATCCACGTACTCACACACACACACAAATGTGCGCACGCACACACACACGTACACACACACACACACAGACATCTTCATTTCAACCAATCCACATCATCGTCGTCTTCTTCATCATCTCCGAAGAGAGGAGGTGGTCCAGGTTTCTCAACAGGACTCTGAAAAAACAAGAACACGAACGCTCGTTACTGTGTGTTACTGTGTTACTGTGTGTTACTGTGTGTTACTGTGTTACTATGTGTTACTGTGTGTTACTGTCTGTTACTGTGTGTTACTGTCTGTGCAAGCCGCCACAGTGGCGGAGTAACGGTCGGCAGTGCCACCCGACTTCCCATCTTCCGGGGCACGGCAGTGGAAACGATGGGGGGGGGGGGGGGCGGCAAGATTCTTAAATCACTCCAACTACCCCCCAACTCCACCGCGTTATAACGGTGTGGACGTTCAGTGTTATAACGGTGTGCACGTTCAGTGTTATAACGGTGTGCACGTTCAGTGTTATAACGGTGTGCACGTTCAGTGTTATAACGGTGTGCACGTTCAGTGTTATAACGGTGTGCACGTTCAGTGTTATAACGGTGTGCACGTTCTGTGTTATAACGGTGTGCACGTTCAGTGTTATAACGGTGTGTGTGTTGTTATAACGGTGTGCACGTTCAGTGTTATAACGGTGTGCACGTTCAGTGTTATAACGGTGTGTGTGCGTTCTGTGTTATAACGGTGTGTACGTTCTGTGTTATAACGGTGTGTGCACGTTCAGTGTTATAACGGTGTGTGTGCGTTCTGTGTTATAACGGTGTGTACGTTCTGTGTTATAACGGTGTGTGCACGTTCAGTGTTATAACGGTGTGTGTGCGCTCTGTGTTATAACGGTGTGTGCGCGCGCTCTGTGTTATAACTGTGTGCGTGCGTTCTGTGTTATAACGGTGTGCGCGCGTTCTGTGTTATAACGGTGTGTGCGCGTTCTGTGTTATAACGAGTGTGTGTTCTATGTTATAACGGTGTGTGCGCGTTCTGTGTTATAACGGTGTGTGCGCGTTCTGTGTTATAACGGTGTGTGCGCGTTCTGTGTTATAACGGTGTGTGCGCGTTCTGTGTTATAACGGTGTGTGTGCGCTCTGTGTTATAACGGTGTGTGTGCGATCTGTGTTATAACGGTGTGTGTGCGTTCTGTGTTATAACGGTGTGTGTGCATTCTGTGTAATAACGGTGTGTGCGCGTTCTGTGTTATAACGGAGTGTGCGCGTTCTGTGTTATAACGGAGTGTGCGCATTCTGTGTTATAACGGTGTGTGCGCGTACTGTGTTATAACGGAGTGTGCGCGTTCTGTGTAATAACGGAGTGTGCGCGTACTGTGTTATAACGGAGTGTGCGCGTTCTGTGTTATAACGGAGTGTGTGCGTTCTGTGTTATAACGGTGTGTGTGCGTTCTGTGTTATAACGGTGTGGGTGCGTTCTGTGTTATAACGGTGTGTGTGCGTTCTGTGTTATAACGGTGTGTGTGCGCTCTGTGTTATAACGGAGTGTGTGTGCTCTGTGTTATAACGGAGTGTGTGTGCTCTGTGTTATAACGGTGTGTGTGCGCTCTGTTTTATAACGGTGTGTGTGCATTCTGTGTTATAACGATGTGTGTGCGCTCTGTGTTATAATGGTGTGTGTGCGTTCTGTGTTATAACGGAGTGTGTGTGTTCTGTGTTATAACGGAGTGTGTGCGTTCTGTGTTATAACAGAGTGTGTGCACTCTGTGTTATAACGGAGTGTGTGCGTTCTGTGTTATAACGGAGTGTGTGTGCTCTGTGTTATAACGGAGTGTGTGTGCTCTGTGTTATAACGGTGTGCGTTCCCGAATGGCCGAGGGTCGAGGAGGTGAAAGCGTGAACACCGCCGCACGTTCGGCGAGGGACTGCCATTGCTTGGCCTACTCTTCCACACTCACTCCACTGTAGTCTCGCGAGATCTTCCTGTTGGGCGCCTCGTATGAGAAGAGGTTTCCATCTTTCTGCTCCTCATCCTCCTCCTCGTCGCCCACGGAAGATGGTGGCTGCCTGTGTCACACACAAAGACGAAGATCCACGGATAGCCTCACATAGACTGTTAGGGCAAGGGCGGTGTTGAGTCTACGGGTAGTGTTGAGTCTATGGGCAGTGTTGAGTCTATCGGCAGTGTTGAGTCTATGGGCAGTGTTGAGTCTATGGGCAGTGTTGAGTCTATGGGCAGTGTTGAGTCTATGGGCAGTGTTGAGTCTATGGGCAGTGTTGAGTCTATGGGCAGTGTTGAGTCTATGGGCAGTGTTGAGTCTATGGGCAGTGTTGAGTCTATGGGCAGTGTTGAGTCTATGGGCAGTGTTGAGTCTATGGGCAGTGTTGAGTCTATGGGTGTGTTGAGTCTATGGGCAGTGTTGAGTCTATCGGCAGTGTTGAGTCTATGGGCAGTGTTGAGTCTATGGGCAGTGTTGAGTCTATGGGCAGTGTTGAGTCTATGGGTGTGTTGAGTCTATGGGCAGTGTTGAGTCTATCGGCAGTGTTGAGTCTATGGGCAGTGTTGAGTCTATGGGCAGTGTTGAGTCTATGGGCAGTGTTGAGTCTATGGGCAGTGTTGAGTCTATGGGCAGTGTTGAGTCTATGGGCAGTGTTGAGTCTATGGGCAGTGTTGAGTCTATGGGCAGTGTTGAGTCTATGGGCAGTGTTGAGTCTATGGGCAGTGTTGAGTCTATGGGCAGTGTTGAGTCTATGGGTGTGTTGAGTCTATGGGCAGTGTTGAGTCTATCGGCAGTGTTGAGTCTATGGGCAGTGTTGAGTCTATGGGCAGTGTTGAGTCTATGGGCAGTGTTGAGTCTATGGGCAGTGTTGAGTCTATGGGCAGTGTTGAGTCTATGGGCAGTGTTGAGTCTATGTACAGTATGTACAGTGTGTGTAGCCAACCGTGCAAATTGGAGGGGGGGGAAGGACCACAATCACGAAAAGCAATTTTCAAGAAATGCGTCTTCAAGTGAGATGATATAAAGGTGCATCACAGCTCATCTTTACTTGAGTTATCACGCCACACAGGAGGCGCTCGAAACGTTCCGGCTTACTTCGGCATCCCGGCAACGCTCGTCGGCCGCTCGGGGACGCCGCTGCCCGCCGCGTCGGCATCTCCCTCCCCGGCCACCGCCGCCGTCACCGTGGCGGCGACGGCGGCAGTGACGTCACATTCTCTCTCCGCTGCCGGCCTATCCGCCACCGCCGCCGCCCCGGCGGCCTCGGCGGCCTCGGCGGCGGCGTGGAGCTTCTCCGCTGTCCCGGTGACTTCGCCGGCAGCGTGGAGCTTCTCCGCCGTGCCCTCGCCGGCAGCGTGGAGCTTCTCCGCCGTGCCCTCGCCGGCAGCGTGGAGCTTCTCCGCCGTGACCTCGCCGGCGGCGTGGAGCTTCTCCGCCGTGACCTCGCCGGCGGCGTGGAGCTTCTCCGCCGTGCCCTCGCCGGCGGCCGCCGCCGAGGGCGCCGCCGGACGAACTTCCGGCGATCCGTCCCCGAGGTCGCGACCTTCGGCGGCGCCGGCGGTCGGCTCCGAGGCTCCGTCTCCCCTCGGCGGCGGTCCCCGGGACTCTCGCGGTGCCTCCTCCACCTCCTCCACCACCTCCTCCTCCTCCTCCACCTCCTCCACCACCTCCACCTCCGGCGTCGTCGTCGTCGTCGTCGTCACGACGGACAGCGGAGCCGCGTCTTCGCGAGGCCGCGAGGCTTCGCCGGCGCCGCCGCTGCCGGCGTCAACGCCCCCCGCCCCGGGCCCTTGGGGTTGGGACGGCGGCCGGTCGGGAGCAGTGTCCGACGTTTCGGGCTCGGAGGCCGGAACGGCAGCAGAGGAGGAGGAATGGGAGACGCCTCGTTCGTCCGGCGATTCGGAGCCGCTCACGAGGCTGAGGGTCGTGGCCTTGTGTTGTCACGCACACACGTGTACACGCACACACGTGTGTACACGCACACACGTGTGTACACGCACACACACACACACACGCACACACACGCACGCACACGTGTGTACACACACACACGCACACGTGTGTACACGCACGCACACACACGCACACGTGTGTACACGCACACGCACACACACGCACACGTGTGTACACGCACACACGTGTGTACATGCGCACACACACACACGCACGTGTACCCGCGCACACACACACGTATGTACATGCACACACATACGCACACATGTGTACACGCGCGCACACGCACGGCACACAGAGAACACGACACGGGGATCTGAAGACATCAGTCAAGAGTGTGACGGGTGTGTGGCTGTGTGGCTGTGTGTGTGTGGCTGTGTGGCTGTGTGTGTGGCTGTGTGTGTGGCTGTGTGTGTGTGTGGCTGTGTGTGTGTGTGTGGCTGTGTGTGTGTGTGTGGCTGTGTGTGTGGCTGTGTGTGTTGCTGTGTGTGTGTGGCTGTGTGTGGCTGTGTGTGTGGCTGTGTGTCCGGCTAAACAACCCCCTACCTCCTCGCGGTGCCGGACGGGCAACTCTGTCGTGGACAGTGCTGTGGGGGGAGGTCCAATTTCGATTGGCTCCTCCCCCTCATGGCATCTGTGTCCACCACAGGGGCTAAACGGGGGCTCTGGACAGGTGCGAGGGGCTGGTAACCCCTCCACCTTCAATTAATTACCACTAAACTACGACTGAAATATATAACTAATAAGCTTGTGCCGGAGGCCCCGGGGGGCCAGGCGTCTATGACGTCTCCTGGCCTAACCCCAATTGGTGGAGCCAGGAGATTGAACATCTACCCTCAGGGCTCCTCCAGAAACAACGAAAAACCACTAGGGGTGGCCACGTGGAATGTTCGAACGCTCACTGCGGAGGAGAGGCTGCCACTCCTCTGTCGGGAGCTGGACCGGTACCGCCTGGATCTATGTGGCATTCAGGAGGTCCGGTGGACCGGTTCTGGCTCCTGCCACCATGAGGGGTGGACAGTCCTCTACTCGGGGCAGCAGACTGCCAAACAACAGGGTGTGGCTCTTCTTTTGAACAAAAGAATTAAGGGGGCGTGGGAGCGTGGCGGTGAGGTGTGGGAAGCTGTAAGCCACAGGCTACTTTGGGCTCGCCTTCCCATCAACCGGAGGCGAGGAATGGTGGTCGTGGTTACTTATGCCCCCACCGAAGATGAACATCCGTGGAGGGACGCAGGCAAAGCCGATGAGTCAGATGACTTCTATGACCTCCTGTCACAGGTGCTGGCTAAAGTGGCCCCTCGGGATAGAGTCATCATGTTGGGTGACTTCAATGCCCGAGTTGGTTATGATGCTGGCACCTGGTCTGGAGTGATTGGAGGGCATGGGCCAGATCAGCTCAATAACAACAGTAGGAGGCTGCTAGATTTTTGTGCAGCCCATGGGCTTGTAATTACCAACACGCTGTTCCGGCATCGGCGCATCCACACAACATCATGGATGCATGCTGGGTCTAAGCAAGAACATCTGCTGGACTACATAGTGACGGACCAGCGGATGCGAGCCCATGTCCTTGACACCAGGACCTACCGTGGAGCTGATCTGCCCTCTGACCATCGACTAGTCATCTGTAAGATGCGCCTGCCATTCTTCCACTCCGGTGGTGGGTGTACACCCAGGACCCCATTCCAACCTAAAGTGGCCTGGTCTCAGTTATCTGATGAGAGTTGCAAGCGAGAATTTCATCATCGCTTGTGGCTGGGATTGGCATCGTCCCCGACTCCTCCTGATGTCGATGGGAAATGGGCGAGGTTTAGGACTGTGACTCATGCAGCTGCAATGGCTGCTTTGGGTACGCGGTCCAGACCTCCCCAGAGACCCTGGCTGACTGGGGAGATGTTCAGGATGGTTGAGAAAAAGCGACAGGCCCACTGTCATAGGCTACAGAATCCCACGTCAGAGAATGAGGAGGCTTACCGCAGCCTTCGCTCGGAGGTTCGGAGAGCCGTGAGGCGCTGTAAAGATGGGTGGTGGTCGCGGGTTGCTGAGGAGATGGAGTCTGCCTCAGTGGCCCGTGATCACAAATCTCTATTTAACTCCATCAAAAAAGTAACCTGCAGCGCCACACCTATTACCATCATTAGGGGAAAAAACGATGATCCAATCTCCGACCCCCAGGAACAGGTTTGCAGATTTGCTGAGCATTTCTGTGAGGTCCTGGGGGAGGGAAAATCCCTCAGCCAGGAAAACATCGTGGCACAAAGTGAGGATGACCCTGCTGAGGCTGCGGTGCCTCAAATATTGGAAGAAGTCACCCCCTGTGAGTGGCTGGCTGAGGTGCCATCTGTTGAGGAAGTACTGAGGGCGATCCGGAGTCTGAGACCAGGAAAGGCAGCGGGCAGAGATGATCTCCCAAGCGAAATGCTGAGGGAGGGTGGCGTTTGTGCACAGACTGCCCTATATGACATCATAACAACAGTCTGGACCACTGGACGGGTTCCGCAGGATTGGAAGGATGCCCTGGTGGTCCCCCTTTTTAAGAAGGGGGACAGCATAGACTGTAACAACTACAGGGGCATTTCACTCTTCAGTGTGCTGGGAAAGGTCCTGGCAAGGATTATTCAGCATCGCCTTGCCAGGCACGCTGAGGGGGCTTGCGGAGCCCCTCATGCGGTTTCAGGAAAGGGCGGTCCTGCACGGATGCCATATTTTCTGTCCGTCTGCTACAGCAGAGGTGTAGGGAATTCCAAAAAGACCTACATCTCTGCTTTATTGACCTGGTCAAGGCCTATGATGCCATCAGTAGGCCTGGGCTCTTGGTTGTTCTTCGTGCTTTTGGAGTACCTGACCCTCTGCTAACGATCATTAAGGACCTTCATGATGGCGAGCGGGCCCGGGTAAAACTACGTGGCCGGGAGTCAGAGCCATTCCCTGTACACCTTGGGGTGCGACAGGGATGTCCTCTGGCTCCCACATTATTTAACATCTATTTTGACCACGTAGTTCGTGAAGCCTTCAATAGCTGTAACGGGGGAATCTCCATATGGTACAGATATAATGGGAGGCTGATCGATGCCCGGGTGCGGTCAAGGGATGGCTCCCTATTGCTCAACCACGTTACGTATGCTGATGATTTGGTAATAGCTGCTCATTCAGAGGAGGAGTTGGAGACGCTGCTGCTGAGACTGGAGCGTGCCACTAAGAGGTGGGGCCTTACCATCAGCCCCACCAAAACTAAGCACCTGCCTGGGTATTTTGTACCATCGGACACTACACCCCCACAACTCCCAATCAGTGATGGGGCAGTTGTGGAGCGAGTGGAGAGTTTCCCATACCTGGGCAGTGTGCTTATGACCGGCTCCAGTTTAACAGCAGAGGTCTCACTCCGAATCAGTCGAGCGGCAATATGTTTTCATCAGTTGCGTAACGCTGTGTGGAAGCTACCTGGTCTGTCGCTCCGCACTAAGCTTCAGGTCTTCTCGGCCACGGTCATTCCCTTCCTTCTCTACGCTTGCGAAACGTGGACCCCCCTAATGGAACATCTTCGCCGGTTATAAACATTTAGGCTGGCCTGCCTACGATCCATTCTGGGTTTAACCAGACTGGATTGTGTGAGGAGCTCACAAATCCTTGAAAGATCTGGGCAGGGTCCCATCGGTGAGCTCCTCCGGCAGGTAAGGCTGCGATGGCTGGGTCATGTAGCCCGCATGCCCAGCCACCGCATGCCGAAACAGCTTTTGTTCGGCCGGATTGAGGGGGCTAAACGGGCGCGGCACGGGCTAGAGAAGAGATGGAGTGATGTGGTACAGGAGGACGTGGAGCTGAGTGGACTTGCCGATGACTGGTACCAGCGGTGTCAAGATTGGCCTCTGTGGAGGAGGCTCGTGAAGGACGCTACTGGGCAGTTGGAGGTAGTCGCCCTCCAACAACAACAACGGAGGGCGGAGGAGCGACGCTCAGAACAACGAGCGCAGCGCCGGGTGGCTAAAGCACAGCAGGTTGGCACAGTAGGGTGCACAGGTGGTGCATCAGCCAGTCATCTCAGTCAGTCGACCCGTGGCACCTGGGTCTGCCCCGTGACCTCCTGCCAGCGGGCGTTCGACACTTCACGTGGCCTCAGGGTGCACATAGCCTGGCACAAGCGTCGTGGTGACGTCACCGCCACGTAGTGGCGAATGGCGGTTGTTGTTGTCTGTGTGTGTGTCTTTGTTTGTGGGGAGCGGTGGTGCAGCGGTTAGCACACTCCGAACACGGGAACCCGAAATCGATTCCCGTTCACGGCCACCAAACATCGCCACTAGGGAGACAAAGGCGGCCGGGCGTGGCTGCAGGCCACCCACCCCCTCGTGTGCCACAGTGCCGGCCTTCATAGGTGCTGCTCGCTAACAGCACTTGCCCCAACAGTCTGTTACAGGCTACACGGGGGACCTTTGTCTCTGTGGCACCTTGATTGTGTTCATGACGGTGGCGAGGATCATGCGGCCGCTGTACGTCCCCTCCAGGGTGAACTCGGAGCGCAGAGACCGGAACACCCCGTTCATCACCTTCTTCACCTGCACAGGTGAACGTACACACACACACACGCGCAGGTGAACGAACTACAAAGCACAAAGATCCCCCGTGTAGCCTGTAACAGACTGTAGGGGCAAGTGCTGTTAGCGAGTAGCACCTGTGAAGGCCGGCACGGCGCACGAGGGGGTGGGTGGCCAGCACCACGCCCGACCGCCTTTGTCTCCCTAGTGGCGATGTTTACTACACACCGCACCAGGTACTCATTTGAGGCCGGGTCGACCTAGGGGAGGCCCAGGACCGGTTCAGATAATCGTCACCGGTGTTGGCCGTGAGCGGGAATCGAACTCGGGTCGCCAGGTTCGTAGCGCAGCGTAGCGCTAACCGCTGCACCACCGCTCCCCACACACACACACAGGTGAACACATGTAGAGATGAACAATCACACACACACACAGACAGGTGAACACACGTAGAGAAGAACAATCACACAAACACACACAGGTGAACACACGTAGAGATGAACAATCACACACACACAGACAGGTGAACACACGTAGAGATGAACAATCACACACACAGGTGAACACACGTAGAGAAGAACAATCACACACACACAGGTGAACACACGTAGAGATGAACAATCACACACACACAGGTGAACACACGTAGAGATGAACATTCACACACACACAGATGAACACACGTAGAGATGAACAATCACACACACAGGTGAACACACGTAGAGATGAACAATCACACACACAGGTGAACACACGTAGAGATGAACATTCACACACACACAGGTGAACACACGTAGAGATGAACAATCACACACACACAGGTGAACACACGTAGAGATGAACAATCACACACACAACACACAGGTGAACACACTGAGAGATGAACAATCACACACACAACACACAGGTGAACACACGGAGAGATGAACAATCACACACACACAGGTGAACACACGTAGAGATGAACAATCACACACACACAGGTGAACACACTGAGAGATGAACAATCACACACACAACACACAGGTGAACACACGTAGAGATGAACAATCACACACACACAGGTGAACACACGTAGAGATGAACAATCACACACACACACAGGTGAACACATGTAGAGATGAACAATCAAACACACACAGGTGAACACACGTAGAGATGAACAATCACACACACACACAGGTGAACACACGTAGAGATGAACAATCACACACACACACAGGTGAACACACAAAGATCCCCCAAATACCCTTTAACAGACTGTCGATGAGTACAATGCGCCAGGTGCTCGTGTTTGGCCGAGTGGACCCAGGAGCGATTCAAACATTCGTCGGTCGTGAGCGGGAACACGAACCCGGGTCACAGCCGGGTCCGTAGCGGGGTCCGTAGCGCCTGGGTGGTGCTAACCGCTGCACCACCGCTCCCCACAAATTCGACCCTGTCCTTACCTGTCAACCCCTTTATCAGTGCCGCTTATAAAGCTCAACGTTACTCCTACAAAGTCACCGTCACAAGGGAGAAACACGAATAGACACTCACCACTAGTACACTCACCACTAGTACACTCACCATTACAGTCAACACTGGTACACTCAGCACTAGTACACTCACCACTAGTACACTTACCACTAGTACACTCACTCACCACTAGTACACTCACTCACCACTACAGTCAACACTAGTACACTCACCACTAGTACACTCACCACTAGTACACTCAACACTAGTACATTCAACACTAGTACACTCAACACTAGAACACTGAGCACTAGTATACTCACTCACCACTACACTCACCACTAGTACACTCACCATTACAGTCAACACTGGTACACTCACCACTACTACACTCACCACTAGTACACTCACCATTACAGTCAACACTAGTACACTTACCACTAGTACACTCACTCACCACTAGTACACTCACCATTACAGTCAACATTGGTACACTCACCACTAGTACACTCACCACTAGTACACTCACCCACCACTAGTACACTCGCCACTAGTACACTCACCACTAGTACACTCACCATTACAGTCAACACTGGTACACTTACCACTAGTACACGTACACTCGCCACTAGTACACTCACCATTACAGTCAACACTGGTACACTTACCACTAGTACACTCACTCACCACTAGTACACTCACCATTACAGTCAACATTGGTACACTCACCACTAGTACACTCACCACTAGTACACTCACCCACCACTAGTACACTCGCCACTAGTACACTCACCACTAGTACACTCACCATTACAGTCAACACTGGTACACTTACCACTAGTACACTCACTCACCACTAGTACACTCACCATTACAGTCAACACTGGTACACTCACCACTAGTACACTCACCATTACAGTCAACACTGGTACACTTACCACTAGTACACTCACTCACCACTAGTACACTCGCCACTAGTACACTCACTACTAGTACATTCACTCACCACTACAGTCAACACTAGTACACTCACCACTAGTACACTCACTACTAGCACACTCGCCACTAGTACACTCACTCACCACTACAGTCAACACTAGTACACTCACTCACCACTAGTACACTCACCACTAGTACACTCACTCACCACTACAGTCAACACTAGTACACTCACCACTAGTACACTCACCACTAGTACACTCACTACTACACTCACCACTAGTACACTCACTGACCACTACAGTCAACACTAGTACACTCACCACTAGTACACTCATTACTAGTACACTCACTACTACACTCACCACTAGTATACTCACTCACCACTACAGTCAACACTAGTACACTCACCACTAGTACACTCACTCACCACTACACTCACCACTAGTACTCACCACTAGCACACTCACTCACCACTATAGTTAACACTAGTATACTTACCACTAGTACACTCACCACTAGTACACTCAACACTAGTACACTTATTACTAGTACACTCACCACTAGTACACTCATCACTAGTACACTCACCACTAGTACACTCACCACTAGTACACTCACTCACCACTAAAGGCAACACTAGTACACTCACCACTAGTACACTCGCCACTAGTACACTCACTCGCCACTACAGTCAACACTAGTACACTCACCACTAGTACACTCACCACTAGTACACTCACTACTACACTCACCACTAGTACACTCACTCACCACTACAGTCAACACTAGTACACTCACCACTAGTACACTCACTCACCACTAGTACACTCACCATTACAGTCAACACTGGTACACTCACCACTAGTACACTCACTCACCACTACAGTCAACACTAGTACACTCACCACTACTACACTCACCACTCGTACACTCACCACTAGTACACTCACCACTAGTACACTCACCACTAGTACACTCACCACTCACTACTAGTATACTCACCACTAGTACACTCACCTCTAGTACAATCATTACTAGTACACTTACCACTAGTACACTCACCACTCACCACTAGTACACTCACCACTAGAACACACACCACTAGTACATTCATCAGTAGTGTGTTGATAGCCACGTGTTGATAGCCACGTGTTGATAGCCACGTGTTGATAGCCACGTGTTGATAGCCACGTGTTGATAGCTACGTGTTGATAGCTACGTGTTGATAGCTACGTGTTGATAGCTACGTGTTGATAGCTACGTGTTGATAGCTACGTGTTGATAGCTACGTGTTGATAGCTACGTGTTGATAGCTACATGCTGATAGCCACGTGTTGATAGCCACGTGTTGATAGCCACGTGTTGATAGCCACGTGTTGATAGCTACGTGTTGATAGCTACGTGTTGATAGCTACGTGTTGATAGCTACGTGTTGATAGCTACGTGTTGATAGCTGCGTGTTGATAGCTGCGTGTTGATAGCTGCGTGTTGATAGCTGCGTGTTGATAGCTGCGTGTTGATAGCTGCGTGTTAATAGCTGCGTGTTGATAGCTGCGTGTTGAAAGCTACGTGTTATAGCTACGTGTTGATAGCTGCGTGTTGATAGCTACGTGTTGATAGCTACGTGTTGAAAGCTACGTGTTATAGCTACGTGTTGATAGCTACGTGTTGATAGCTACGTGTTGATAGCCACGTGTTGATAGCTACGTGTTGATAGCTACGTGTTGATAGCCACGTGTTGATAGCTACGTGTTGATAGCCACGTGTTGATAGCTACGTGTTGATAGCTACGTGTTGATAGCTACGTGTTGATAGCCACGTGTTGATAGCTACGTGTTGATAGCTACGTGTTGATAGCTACGTGTTGATAGCTACGTGTTGATAGCCACGTGTTGATAGCCGTGTGTTGATAGCTACGTGTTGATAGCTGCGTGTTATAGCTACATGCTGATAGCTACATGCTGATAGCTACATGCTGATAGCTACGTGTTGATAGACTCTTAACCGACTGCAAGGAGGCAAGCGTGACTAACGTCACGTGACTGACGTGACTGGCGTGACGTTAGTCACGTCACGTTAGTCACGTGACATGAGTCACGTGACGTTAGTCACATGACGTCAGTCACATGACATCAGTCACGCCACGTCAGTCACGTGACATCAGTCACATGACGTCAGTCACGCCACGTCCCGCCGGGAGACGGCAGTGGTGCCGCCGGGGGTGGGCGGGGCTGTGGGGGCCGCCGGGCCGAGCGGCCGTGCGGCGAGGCCCCCGGCCGTGCGGCAGCGTGGCCTCACCTCGGCCAGGGCGTCCGTGTTGCCGGCCAGGGCGAGCCTCGCTTCAAACTCCCGGCGCATCTCCGCCGCTTTCAGCCGCAGGACCGTGTACTGCAAAGACAAAGGTGCAGCGGCGCCGCCCCCCGCAACGTGAAGCCTCACGCTGGGGCAAGCGCTGTTAGCAGAGTAGCGGAGACTGTCGGTGAAGGCCCGGCGCACGGGGTGGGTGTGGGTGGCCAGCACCACTCCAGGCGTACAAAGACAAAGATCCCCTGTGTAGCCTTGGTGTCTAGGAGATGTTAACTACCTCGCCTGGTGCGCGGGAGGTCGTGGGATCCATCCCGGACGCGAACCCCACGGTGGCTAGGAGATGTTAACTACCTCGCCTGGTACGCAGGAGGTCGTGGGTACGATCCCGACACTGACGCCTGCTGCTGCTGTATATTTGAACTTTGCGTCTCTCTCTCTCTCCCTGTTGATTTTTCTCCAGGTATGCTGATGATGCTGATGGCAAAGATAAAGCTGCTGCTGCCGCTGATGATGCTGCTGATGATGCTGCTGATGGCAAAGATAAAGCTGCTGCTGATGATGATGATGATGCTGCCGCTGATGCTGCTGCTGATGCTGCTGCTGATGATGATGCTGCTGCTGCTGATACTGCTGCTGCTGATGATGTTGCTGCTGATGATGATGATGCTGCTGCTGCTGATACTGCTGCTGCTGATGATGTTGCTGCTGATGATGATGATTACCTTCTCTTGCCACAGCCGGGCCTCTTGATTCTCCAATTTGGCCGACCGCTCGCTCAACTCGGCCAGCTGCAGCTGGACAACAGGGAGACAGCGCAGCGTGGTGGTGGTGGTGGTGGTGAAGAAGCTCTCACTAGTGCGTCCACTCCCAATGATCCCCAAACCCCCAACTTAGACAGCCGTCTCCCTCCTCCAGTAAGCAAGTCAGCGCATCGGCCGTGGAAGAGGCGACATCGCTGATGACATCGCTGATGACATCGCTGATGACATCGCTGATGACGACGACGACGATGACGACGATTTGAGCGAGCGTCTGTAATTAGGATTATTTTTGCCGCTATAAATGTCACACACCTGTCAACCCCTTATCAGTGCCCCAGCTTATTACAGACCAACTCAGACACCCTCGGTCACACCGTGCCCCCCGCCCCCCTTTATAAATCTCAACGTTCACCCCAACACAGTCCCATCATCATCATCATCACAAGGGAGAAACGCGAACAAAATGTTTACCGTCCACGTACGCCGAGTGGACGGTAAACTCAATTTGCCTGCACGACGATAAGGGGGGGTGAGAAACCGTCATGGGTCGACACGTGTTGTGTGTGTGGATTACCCACGCATGACACGTGTTGTGTGTGTGGATTTCCCACGCGTGACACGTGTTGTGTGTGTGGATTACCCACGCATGACACGTGTTGTGTGTGTGGATTACCCACGCGTGACACGTGTTGTCTGTGGATTTCCCACGCGCGACACGTGTTGTGTGTGTGGATTACCCACGCGTGACACGTGTTGTGTGTGTGCATTACCCACGCGTGACACGTGTTGTCTGTGGATTTCCCACGCGCGACACGTGTTGTGTGTGCATTACCCACGCGTGACACGTGTTGTCTGTGGATTTCCCACGCGCGACACGTGTTGTGTGTGCATTACCCCCGCGTGACACGTGTTGTCTGTGGATTTCCCACGCGCGACACGTGTTGTGTGTGCATTACCCACGCGTGACACGTGTTGTCTGTGGATTTCCCACGCGCGACACGTGTTGTGTGTGCATTACCCACGCGTGACACGTGTTGTCTGTGGATTTCCCACGCGCGACACGTGTTGTGTGTGCATTACCCACGCATGACACGTGTTATGTGGATTTCCCACGCGCGACACGTGTTGTCTGTGGATTTCCCACGCGCGACACGTGTTGTGTGTGCATTACTCACGCGCGACACGTGTTGTGTGTGGATTTCCCACACGCGACACGTGTTGTGTGTGGATTTCCCGTGCGCGACACGTGTTGTGTGTGTGGATTTCCCATGCGCGACACGTGTTGTGTGTGTGGATTTCCCATGCGCGACACGTGTTGTGTGTGTGGATTTCCCATGCGCGACACGTGTTGTGTGTGTGGATTTCCCATGCGCGACACGTGTTGTGTGTGCATTACCCACGCGCGACACGTGTTGTGTGTGTGGATTTCCCATGCGCGACACGTGTTGTGTCTGTGGATTTCCCACGCGACACGTGTTGTGTGTGGATTTCCCATGCGCGACACGTGTTGTGTCTGTGGATTTCCCATGCGACACGTGTTGTGTGTGGATTACCCACGCGACACGTGTTGTGTGTGTGGATTTCCCACGCGACACGTGTTGTGTGTGGATTTCCCACACGACACGTGTTGTGTGTGGATTTCCCACGCGACACGTGTTGTGTGTGTGGATTACCCACGCGACACGTGTTGTGTGTGTGGATTTCCCACGCGACACGTGTTGTGTGTGGATTACCCACGCGACACGTGTTGTGTGTGGATTTCCCACGTGCGACACGTGTTGTGTCTGTGGATTTCCCACGCGACACGTGTTGTGTGTGGATTTCCCATGCGCGACACGTGTTGTGTCTGTGGATTTCCCATGCGACACGTGTTGTGTGTGGATTACCCACGCGACACGTGTTGCGTGTGGATTTCCCACGCAACACGTGTTGTGTGTGGATTTCCCACACGACACGTGTTGCGTGTGGATTTCCCACGCGACACGTGTTGCGTGTGGATTTCCCACGCGACACGTGTTGTGTGTGTGGATTTCCCATGCAACACGTGTTGTGTGTGGATTACCCACACGACACGTGTTGTGTGTGTGGATTTCCCACGCGACACGTGTTGTGTGTGTGGATTTCCCACGCAACACGTGTTGTGTGTATGGATTTCCCACGCGACACGTGTTGTGTGTGTGGATTTCCCACGCGACACGTGTTGTGTGTGTGGATTTCCCACGCAACACGTGTTGTGTGTATGGATTTCCCACGCGACACGTGTTGCGTGTGGATTTCCCGCGTGACACGTGTTGTGTGTGTGGATTTCCCACGCGACACGTGTTGTGTGTGTGGATTTCCCACGCGACACGTGTTGTGTGTGTGTGGATTTCCCACGTGACAGGGCCCACTTTGTTCAGGCTGCTCTCATTTGTGGTTGCAACGTGTTTGGAGGCTTCTGAAAATAAAAGTTAACGCCTCAAAGCGGGGGGCTTTGCCCGATAGGAATGGGGATGGCGGTTCAGCGCTGCCTTGGCATCTTTCAAAATATCCCAAATAGGTTTCAACCCCGTCCTGGCAATAAACAAATACCAAGGTTAACAAGGTTAACAAATACCAAGGTTAACAAGGTTAACAAATACCAAGGTTAACAAATACCAAGGTTAACAAATACCAAGGTTAACAAGGTTAACAAATACCACGGTTAACAAGGTTAACAAATACCAAGGTTAACAAGGTTCACAAATACCAAGGTTAACAAGGTTAACAAATACCAAGGTTAACAAGGTTAACAAATACCAAGGTTAACAAGGTTAACAAATACCAAGGTTAACAAATACCAAGGTTAACAAATACCAAGGTTAACAAATACCACGGTTAACAAGGTTAACAAATACCAAGGTTAACAAGGTTCACAAATACCAAGGTTAACAAGGTTAACAAATACCAAGGTTAACAAGGTTAACACATACCACGGTTAACAAGGTTAACAAATACCAAGGTTAACAAGGTTCACAAATACCAAGGTTAACAAGGTTAACAAATACCAAGGTTAACAAGGTTAACAAATACCAAGGTTAACAAGGTTAACAAATACCAAGGTTAACAAGGTTAACAAATACCAAGGTTAACAAGGTTAACAAATACCAAGGTTAACAAATACCAAGGTTAACAAGGTTAACAAATACCAAGGTTAACAAGGTTAACAAATACCAAGGTTAACAAGGTTAACAAATACCAAGGTTAACAAGGTTAACAAATACCAAGGTTAACAAGGTTAACAAATACCAAGGTTAACAAGGTTAACAAATACCAAGGTTAACAAGGTTAACAAATACCAAGGTTAACAAGGTTAACAAATACCAAGGTTAACAAGGTTAACAAATACCAAGGTTAACAAGGTTAACAAATACCAAGGTTAACAAATACCAAGGTTAACAAGGTTAACAAATACCAAGGTTAACAAGGTTAACAAAAACCAAGGTTAACAAGGTTAACAAATACCAAGGTTAACAAGGTTAACAAATACCAAGGTTAACAAGGGTTAACAAATACCAAGGTTAACAAATACCAAGGTTAACAAGGTTAACAAATACCAAGGTTAACAAGGTTAACAAATACCAAGGTTAACAAATACCAAGGTTAACAAGGTTAACAAAAACCAAGGTTAACAAGGTTAACAAATACCAAGGTTAACAAGGTTAACAAATACCAAGGTTAACAAGGTTAACAAATACCAAGGTTCACAAATACCAAGGTTAACAAGGTTAACAAATACCAAGGTTAACAAATACCAAGGTTAACAAATACCAAGGTTAACAAGGTTAACAAATACCAAGGTTAACAAGGTTAACAAAAACCAAGGTTAACAAGGTTAACAAATACCAAGGTTAACAAGGTTAACAAATACCAAGGTTAACAAGGTTAACAAATACCAAGGTTAACAAGGTTAACAAATACCAAGGTTAACAAATACCAAGGTTAACAAGGTTAACAAATACCAAGGTTAACAAGGTTAACAAATACCAAGGTTAACAAGGTTAACAAATACCAAGGTTAACAAGGTTAACAAATACCAAGGTTAACAAGGTTAACAAATACCAAGGTTAACAAGGTTAACAAATACCAAGGTTAACAAGGTTAACAAATACCAAGGTTAACAAGGTTAACAAATACCAAGGTTAACAAGGTTAACAAATACCAAGGTTAACAAGGTTAACAAATACCAAGGTTAACAAATACCAAGGTTAACAAGGTTAACAAATACCAAGGTTAACAAGGTTAACAAAAACCAAGGTTAACAAGGTTAACAAATACCAAGGTTAACAAGGTTAACAAATACCAAGGTTAACAAGGTTAACAAATACCAAGGTTAACAAATACCAAGGTTAACAAGGTTAACAAATACCAAGGTTAACAAGGTTAACAAATACCAAGGTTAACAAATACCAAGGTTAACAAGGTTAACAAAAACCAAGGTTAACAAGGTTAACAAATACCAAGGTTAACAAGGTTAACAAATACCAAGGTTAACAAGGTTAACAAATACCAAGGTTCACAAATACCAAGGTTAACAAGGTTAACAAATACCAAGGTTAACAAATACCAAGGTTAACAAATACCAAGGTTAACAAGGTTAACAAATACCAAGGTTAACAAGGTTAACAAAAACCAAGGTTAACAAGGTTAACAAATACCAAGGTTAACAAGGTTAACAAATACCAAGGTTAACAAGGTTAACAAATACCAAGGTTAACAAGGTTAACAAATACCAAGGTTAACAAGGTTAACAAATACCAAGGTTAACGTTTGCTGCTTTAACAACCTCAGATCGCGAGCATAGTTCGTTCCGGAAACGAGTTTGTAATCCAAAGCGACTCCGTATATCGGTCGTGATCACGTGACGCTCGGCAGTACAAAGCGTCGAGACCAGGCACGGGCAAAGTACGGCCCGTTGGGCTATTTAATCCGGCCCGCCGAACTAGTCCAAATATTTATGAGACCTCCTTTGCCAGAAACAAGATATAGGAATAGGTTTTACCCTTTTAACTGGCACAAAAACTGACACCTTTATTCAAGGCATCATGTTTTTGTGCCAGTTAAAAGGGTAAAACCTATTCCTATATCTTGTTTCTGGCAAAGGAGGTCTCATAATGTAAATGCTCACCCCGAGCCCTCAATACTCTGATAGTGCGCTGTTTTTTGAGTTGTACGCCTCTTGGCGTCTTCTGGTCCAACACCAATGGAGACTAGGCTCTAAGAAAAGCTGTCTCGGGTGTGGACCAATCAAATTCAAGGACAGTGCATATTATTATCAGAGTTGTCTTTTTTGTTTGCATTTTGACTGCTTGTGTTGTGGTCATTGCAAACATGATGCCTTGAATAAAGGTGTCAGTTTTTTGTGCCAGTTAAAAGGGTAAAACCTATTCCTATAGTCCAAATATTATTATTACATTAAATTAAATTTTACCTTTCTCCTGTAATGCCCGCATTTCGCCATTAGATGGCGCACTTTGACCGGGAGTGTGGTGGATATGTTTGTGTGCAGGCCTCAGACGTTTTCATGATGTTTGATCAGTCACGTTACGACATGTTTTTGTACCGTCCATGTTCGTGCAATTTGCGAAAATGCCTTGCAAAATAAACGCGTTGCTACCTGTTAAAGGCCGAATCCTTTCATGTAATGATTTGTACATGTTGCAGGCGCAGCTTTCTCGTACCAAAAAATAAGCTACGCCTGAACTTGTGGGAGCAAAACGTTCTGACGCGTGTTTGAGGTGTCTTTAAATCAAACTGCTCCTTTATTTCTGAGTTGCACAAAAACGAGCATTTTCTCAGGTTATATCTTCGCCTGTTCACGTGCTGTGTCACCCTGTAACACGTACTGTCACCCTGTCACATGTACTGTGTCACCCCGTCGCACGTACTGTGTCACCCTGTATCACGTGCTGTGTCACCCTGTGTCACGTACTGTGTCACCCCGTCACACGTGCTGTGTCACCCCGTCTCACGTGCTGTGTCACCCCGTCACACGTACTGTGTCACCCCGTCTCACGTGCTGTGTCACCCCGTCACACGTACTGTGTCACCCTGTGTCACGTACTGTGTCACCCCGTCGCATGTACTGTGTCACCCCGTCGCACATACTGTGTCACCCTGTCTCACGTACTGTGTCACCCCGTCGCACATACTGTGTCACCCCGTCGCACGTACTGTGTCACCCTGTATCACGTACTGTGTCACCCTGTCGCACGTACTGTGTCACCCCGTCGCACGTACTGTGTCACCCCGTCTCACGTGCTGTGTCACCCTGTGTCACGTACTGTGTCACCCTGTGTCACGTGCTGTGTCACCCTGTGTCACGTACTGTGTCACCCTGTCGCACGTACTGTGTCACGCTGTAACACGTACTGTGTCACCTCGTCACACGTACTGTATCACCCCGTCGCACGTACTGTGTCACCCCGTCGCACGTACTGTGTCACCCTGTCTCACGTGCTGTGTCACCCTGTCTCACGTGCTGTGTCACCCACGTGCTGTGTCACCCTGTCGCACGTACTGTGTCACCCTGTCGCACGTACTGTGTCACCCTGTCTCACGTGCTGTGTCACCCACGTACTGTGTCACCTCGTCACACGTACTGTATCACCCCGTCGCACGTACTGTGTCACCCCGTCGCACGTACTGTGTCACCCTGTCGCACATACTGTGTCACCCCGTCGCACGTACTGTGTCACCCCGTGTCACGTACTGTGTCACCCCGTCTCACGTGCTGTGTCACCCTGTGTCACGTACTGTGTCACCCTGTGTCACGTACTGTGTCACCCCGTCTCACGTACTGTGTCACCCCGTCGCACGTACTGTGTCACCCCGTCTCACGTACTGTGTCACCCCGTCTCACGTACTGTGTCACCCTGTGTCACGTGCTGTGTCACCCTGTGTCACGTGCTGTGTCACCCTGTATCACGTACTGTGTCACCCTGTCTCACGTACTGTGTTACCCTGTCGCACGTACTGTATCACCCCGTCGCACGTACTGTGTCATCCCGTCGCACGTACTGTGTCACCCCGTCACACGTACTGTGTCACCCTGTCTCACGTGCTGTGTCACCCTGTCTCACGTGCTGTGTCACCCTGTCTCACGTACTGTGTCACCCTATATCACGTGCTGTGTCACGTGCTGTGTCACATGCTGTGTCACGTGCTGTGTCACGTGCTGTATCACGTGCTGTATCACGTGCTGTATCACGTACTGTATCCACTCGCTCCCCGTCGGCTATTCTCATAGCCCCCCGTTTATACTGTAAAAACCGGAAGTGACGTCATGGGTTCAACCAACGGAGCGTCTAACCACAGGGGGGTTTCTACACAGTTGGGATATTCCAAATCAAATGCAACCAGTCCGTCAACGAACGTATGACGGATGTACATCAAATCTATATACAGGAATAATACACTCACTTTCTGTCTCATGGCTCTCACGCACGTCATGTACGTTAGTTCGCACAAACACGCAGTCCATCTGTTCCTGGCCCGGCCCCCTCTGGAAAATTTTAGAACCCATTGTGGCTCGCGAGTCAAAAAATTTGTCCACCCCTGGTCTGTCCGTACACTGCTCGTACTGCAAGACCCTCACTCGTTTATCAAATTAATATTTAGTTACAAATTTCTGCTCATCTTGCAAAACACTGGCAGAGCAAGTTACTCGCAATCCAAGGCTTTACTGTAGTTATTTGTTTTTTGGATGATTTGTTTACGTTCATTGTACTTTAAACTCCTATCGTGTTTGTTGTTGTGTTGTGTTTGTTGTGTTGTGTTTGTTGTTGTGTTGTGTTTGTTGTTGTATTGTGTTTGTTGTTGTTGTGTTTGTTGTTGTATTTGTTGTTGTATTGTGTTTGTTGTTGTATTGTGTGTTGTTGTGTTATGTTGTTGTGTTGTGATTGTTGTTGTATTGTGTTTGTTGTTGTGTTGTGTTGTTGTTGTGTTTGTTGTTGTTGTATTGTGTTTGTTGTTGTGTTGTGTTGTTGTTGTGTTTGTTGTTGTTGTGTTTGTTGTTGTGTTATGTTGTTGTGTTTGTTGTTGTATTGTCTTTGTTGTTGGTGTGTGTTTGTTATTGTGTTTGTTGTTGTGTGTTTGTTATTGTGTTTGTTGTTGTTGTGTTTGTTAGTGTTTGTTGTTGTTCTATTGTGTTTGTCGTTGGGACCTTCTGACCCTATACCCCCCCTACTGGGCATATGTGGGAAAATAAATAAATAAATAGACCACTTCACAGCTCATCGGATTCCTCCTCCCGCGGTACAACGTCAATATTCTAATTCCGTAATCAGCACGAGTGACAAGCGGCCTCACCTCGGTCTGCAGGCGAGCGACCTTTTCCAGGAGCTCGGCCCTCTCTCTCCGCAGGGCGTCTCTCTCCGTCCGGAGCTTCTGCAGGGAGGCCGCCTGCTGCTGCTCCTCCAACTCAGCACGCAGCGCCGACGGCTGAGACAAAACCCAGGCAGAGGCAAAGGTTTTCCCCGCTACCCCCCCGCGTAGCCTCAACAGAAGGGTCGGGGGGCAAGCGCTGTTAGCAGCAGCAGCGAGCAGCAGCAGCAGCCTGCAGCAGCAGCAGCAGCAGCCTGCAGCAGCAGCAGCCTGCAGCAGCAGCAGCAGTAGCGAGCAGCAGCAGCAGTAGCGAGCAGCAGCAGCAGTAGCGAGCAGCAGCAGCAGCAGCAGCAGTAGCGAGCCGGCAGCAGTAGCAACAGAGCCCGTGAAGGCTGCCCGAGCCGTGGCACACGAGGGGGGGGGGTGTCCAGCGCCACACCCGGCCGCCTTTGTCTCCCCAGTGCTGGCGATGTTCACTGCACACCGCACCGGCCACTCGTTCGAGTCGAGCAACGTGAGGCCCGGGACCGGTTCAGATACCCACCGAGCCTCCCGCTATACATTCAGCCCCGCGACCCCCCCGCGACCCCCCCCGCGACCCCCCCGCGACCCCCCCGCGACCCCCCCGCGACCCCCCCGCGACCCCCCCCGCGACCCCCCCGCGACCCCCCCGCGACCTTCGCACTCGGGGGGAGACACACGTGGGAGACACGGGGAGACACGGTGGGACAAACATGGGGAGACACACGGGGAGACACGCGGGGAGACACGCGGGGAGACACGCGGGGAGACACGCGGGGAGACACGGGGAGACACGGTGGGACAAACATGGGGAGACACGGGGAGACACGCGGGGAGACACGCGGGGAGACACGCGGGGAGACACGCGGGGAGACACGCGGGGAGACACGCGGGGAGACACGCGGGGAGACACGCGGGGAGACATGCGGGGAGACACGGGGAGACACGGTGGGACAAACATGGGGAGACACGCGCGGAGACACGCGGGGAGACACGCGGGGAGACACGCGGGGAGACACGCGGGGAGACACGCGGGGAGACACGCGGGGAGACACGCGGGGAGACACGCGGGGAGACACACGGGGAGACATGCGGGGAGACACGCGGGGAGAGAGATGGGGAGATGCACGGGGACACTCAGGGAGACGCAGAGAGACACGGTGGGACAAACATGGGGAGACACGGGGAGACACGCGGGGAGACACAGGGGGGAGGGGGAGGGAAGGGGGGGGGTGGAGGTCACCTTTTCCACGGCCGCCTTGTCTGCACGGAGGTCTCCCATCTCCTGCTCCAGCGTCTGCGTGCGGAGCTGCGTCTCGTGGAGCTGAGCTCGCTCGGACCGCAAAGCCTCCTGGGAGCGCTGCAGCTCCTCCTGGGAGCGCTGCAGCTCCTCCTGGGAGCGCTGCAGCTCCTCCTGGGAGCGCCGCAGCTCCTCCTGGGAGTGCCGCAGCTCCTCCTGGGAGTGGTGCAGCTCCTCCTGGGAGTGGTGCAGCTCCTCCTGGGAGTGGTGCAGCTCCTCCTGGGAGCGCTGCAGCTCCTCCCGCACGGCTGGGCGGCAGCAGCAGCAGCAGCGTCACCAAATCGGCATCACGAACGTAATTAACAGCGTCCTCACCACCACCACCACCACCAGGATCATCATCATCAAAAACAACAATTCCTACACTCAGCAGGATCAACATCAGCATCGCGATTCGTCATAGCCATTGTCATCACCGTGATCGTCGTCATCGTCATCGTTGCTGTCACCATCGTCGTCATCAACTCCATCATCATCATCGTCGTTGTCATCATTATCGCTGTCATCATCATAATCATGAGTCACCAACTCCACCGTCGTCATCGTCGTCACCGTCGTCATCGTCATCACCGTCGTCATCAACTCCACCGTCGCCACCCCCCCCCCGCCTCACCGCTCAGCTGCTCCCCCAGCTCCACCGCCTCCGCCCTCCTTGCTGCCGCCTCAGCCTGGGCCTGCTGCAGGCGGCCCCCCACCTCCTGGCCCTGTGTGCGGCTGGCCGCCAGCTGGGCCTGGGCACCCGTCAGCTGGGCAGTCACCTGGGCCAGCCCCTCTGTGAGCCGGGCCTGGGACGCGGAGGGAGGGTGGAGGGGGAGGAGAGAGGAGGAGGGAGAGGAGGAGGGAGGAGGGAGGGAGGGAGGGAGGAGGAGGAGGGAGGAGGGAGGGAGGGAGGGAGGAGGGAGGGAGGGAGGAGGGAGGGAGGGAGGGAGGAGGAGGGAGAAGGGGGAGGGAGGGAAGGAAGAGAAGGGAGAGGGAGGGAGGGAAGGAGAAGGAGGAGGAGGAGGGAGGGAAGGAGAAGGGGGAGGGAGGGATGAGGAGGAGGAGGGAGGGAAGGAAAAGGAGGAGGCGTCAGCGTTGAGCCTCCGGGAAGAATGAAACACAAATCGACTCCGGAAGGGCGGCGTTCCCGTCGACCCCTTGATTTTGTATCGCCGGTAACCGTACGGGGGAAGAAAACCGGTAATGACCGGTTGTTAAAACCGGTAATGACCGGTTGTTAAAACCGGTAATGACCGGTTGTTAAAACCGGTAATGACCGGTTGTTAAAACCGGTAATGATCGGTTGTTAAAACCGGCAACAACCGGTTATTACCGGGTTTTGTCGCACGCATCGAAACGTCTGGGTCGGAAACCAAAAGACATCTATCTATAATATATTTATTATATATAGTATATTTATTATCTATAGTATATTTATTATCTATAGTATATTTATTATCTATAGTATATTTATTATCTATAATATATTTATTATCTATAGTATATTTATTATATATAGTATATTTATTATCTACAATATATTTATTATCTATAGTATATTTATTATATATAGTATATTTATTATCTATAGCATATTTATTATCTATAGCATATTTATTATCTATAGCATATTTATTATCTATAGCATATTTATTATCTATAGCATATTTATTATCTATAACATATTTATTATCTATAGTATATTTATTATCTATAGTATATTTATTATCTATAGCATATTTATTATCTATAGCATATTTATTATCTATAGCATATTTATTATCTATAGCATATTTATTATCTATAGTATATTTATTATATATAGTATATTTACTATCTATAATATATTTATTATCTATATTTATTATCTATAGTATATTTATTATCTATAGCATATTTATTATCTATAGCATATTTATTATCTATAATATATTTATTATCTATAATATATTTATTATCTATAATATATTTATTATCTATAGCATATTTATTATCTATAATATATTTATTATCTATAGTATATTTATTATCTATAATATATTTATTATCTATAGTATATTTATTATCTATAATATATTTATTATCTATAGTATATTTATTATCTATAGTATATTTATTATCTATAGTATATTTATTATCTATAGTATATTTATTATCTATAGTACATTTATTATCTATGGTACATTTATTATCTATAGTACATTTACTATCTATAATATATTTATTATATATAGTATATTTATTATCTATAGTATATTTACTATCTATAGTATATTTATTATCTATAGTATATTTATTATCTATAGTTATTTATTATCTATAGTATATTTATTATCTATAGCATATTTATTATGTATATATTTATTATCTATGATATATTTATTATCTATAGTACATTTTTTATCTATAGTATATTTATTATCTATAGTATATTTATTATCTATAATATATTTATTATTTTACCAGGTAAGGCCCCACTCAGCTGCTACGTCGCTCTTTTTCAGAAGCGACCACCTGGCCATCACAAGTGACAGCTCAACCAAGTGGCTGATCGTCATCATCGTCGTCATCGTCGTCGTCGTCATCATCGTCGTCATCAATCGTCGTCATCATCATCGTCATCATCGTCGTCATCATCATCGTCGTCGTCATCGTCGTCATCATCGTCGTCATCATCGTCATCGTCATCATCATCGTCATCATCATCGTCGTTATCATCATCATCGTCGTTATCATTATCATCATCGTCCTTATCATCATCGTCATCATCATCGGCGTCAACGTCGCGTGGAGATTTACAGCAACCGGAGGGACCCGGAGAAAAATCCACGCGACCACGGAGGAGAGAGAGAGAGAGACACGCAAACTCCAAATATACAGCAGCAGCAGCAGGCGTCAGGGTAGGGACTGAACCCACGACCTCCTGTACACCAGGCGAGGTAGTTAACATCTCCTAGCCACCGTGATGATGATGATGAGAGAGAGACACGCAAACTCCAAATATACAGCAGCAGCAGCAGGCATCAGGGTACGGATCAAACCCACGACCTCCTGTACACCAGGCGAGGTAGTTAACATCTCCTAGCCACCGTGATGATGATGATGAGAGAGAGAGAGAGACACGCAAACTCCAAATATACAGCAGCAGCAGGCGTCAGGATCTGGACTGAATCCACGACCTCATACCAGGCAAGTGAAATATAACATCTCGCCACCACGGCTTCTGTATTAGTGCGAATGTAAATACGTACTAGTGTAGATGTGTGTGTGTGTGTAAATAACATGAAGAGCAATGGTTGTTTATTATGCGTCACGAAGCAGTCCTTAAAAGAGCCGCATGCAGCGCTGAGATGTTAACTACCTCGCCTGATATACAGGAGGTCGTGGGTTCGATCCCACGGTGGCTAGGAGATGTTGACTACCTCGGCTGGTGTACAGGAGGTCGTGGGTCCGGTCCCTACCCTGATGCCTGCTGCTGCTGCTGTATATTTGGAGTTTGCGTGTCTCTCTCATCATCATCACGGTGGCTAGGAGATGTTAACTACCTCGCCTGGTGTGCAGGAGGTCGTGGGTCCGGTCCCTACCCTGATGCCTGCTGCTGCTGCTGCTGTATATTTGGAGTTTGCGTGTCTCTCTCATCATCATCACGGTGGCTAGGAGATGTTAACTACCTCGGCTGGTGTACAGGAGGTCGTGGGTTCGATCCCGACTCTGACGCCTGCTGCTGCTGCTGTATATTCGGAGTTTGCGTGTCTCTGTCTCTCTCTCTCCGTGGTCGCGTGGATTTTTCTCCGGGTCCTCCGGTCTTCCCCCCCACCCCCCACCCCCCACATTTAGAATCAACGTCACGCTCGCGAATCCCACACGCAAAGCGAATGGGTTCGACCCTTCCTGGCGATAAAGCCGGTGTCAAGAGTGAAGCCTGCATTACCCGCACGCAGCAACTTGCGGTGAGAGCACGCAAACACATCAAGAGAAACCGTGCCCCGCTGACACACGGCATTGCCTTTGAAACCAACTGGTCCCACACCAGGGGCAGCTGACTTCTCCAGGGCCTCGTCTCGACCGAACAGCGCGTGACGCCGTTCAAGCCTTCACACATTTGTGACGTGTCGGGGGGGGGTTGGCGGGGCCTCTCCTCCCTGTCCGTGGCTCAGCGGCGTGGGGGGGGCGGGGGGGGGGCGTTTCGGAGGGGGAGGGGGAGCCGATAAAACCTGATTCCAGATAAAACGCCAAGATGGTTTGATCAAGGGAATCCTGCCTCGCTCGCTCGCGAGCTGGGAGGACGGGCGCCCCGTGACGGGTTCGGACTCACCTGTGCGTGGGACACCTGGGGCACGGGCACAAGCGCGTGAGCCGAGAGAGAGAGAGAGAGACAGGGGGAGAGAGAGAGTCAGCGTCATCGGAGACGATGCCCACGTGGCACAACGTAGCGGAGGAGGGGGAGCGGGGTGGGGAGGGGGGCTTCGGTGATACGGTTATGGTGGTGAGGAATGATACGGTTATGGTGGTGAGGAGTGATACGGTTATGGTGGTGAGGAGTGATACGGTTATGGTGGTGAGGAATGATACGGTTATGGTGGTGAGGAGTGATACGGTTATGGTGGTGAGGAGTGATACGGTTATGGTGGTGAGGAGTGATACGGTTTTGGTGGTGAGGAGTGATACGGTTATGGTGGTGAGGAGTGATACGGTTATGGTGGTGAGGAGTGATACGGGTATGGTGGTGAGGAGTGATACGGTTATGGTGGTGAGGAGTGATACGGGTATGGTGGTGAGGAGTGATACGGTTATGGTGGTGAGGAGTGATACGGTTATGGTGGTGAGGAATGATACGGTTATGGTGGTGAGGAGTGATACGGTTATGGTGGTGAGGAGTGATACGGTTATGGTGGTGAGGAGTGATACGGTTATGGTGGTGAGGAATGATACGGGTATGGTGGTGAGGAGTGATACGGTTATGGTGGTGAGGAGTGATACGGTTATGGTGGTGAGGAGTGATACGGTTATGGTGGTGAGGAATGATACGGTTATGGTAGTGAGGAGTGATACGGTTATGGTGGTGAGGAGTGATACGGTTATGGTGGTGAGGAGTGATACGGTTATGGTGGTGAGGAGTGATACGGTTATGGTGGTGAGGAGTGATACGGTTATGGTGGTGAGGAGTGATACGGTTATGGTGGTGAGGAATGATACGGTTATGGTAGTGAGCGATATGGTTATGATGTGAGGAGTGATATGGTTGAGGAGTGATACGCTCAGGGTGAGGAGTGATACGCTCAGGGTGAGGAGTGTTACACTCAGGGTGAGGAGTGATACACTCAGGGTGAGGAGTGAAACGCTCAGGGTGAGGAGTGATACGCTCAGGGTGAGGAGTGATACGCTCAGGGTGAGGAGTGATACGCTCAGGTAGAGGAGTGATACGCTCAGGGTGAGGAGTGATACGCTCAGGGTGAGGAGTGTTACGCTCAGGATGAGGAGTGATACGCTCAGGGTGAGGAGTGTTACGCTCAGGGTGAGGAGTGTTACACTCAGGGTGAGGAGTGATACGCTCAGGGTGAGGAGTGATACGCTCAGGGTGAGGAGTGAAACGCTCAGGGTGAGGAGTGATACACTCAGAGTGAGGAGTGATACGCTCAGGGTGAGAAGTGATACGCTCAGGGTGAGGAGTGATACGCTCAGGGTGAGGAGTGATACGCTCAGGGTGAGGAGTGATACGCTCAGGGTGAGGAGTGATACGCTCAGGGTGAGGAGTGATACGCTCAGGGTGAGGAGTGTTACACTCAGGGTGAGGAGTGATACGCTCAGGGTGAGGAGTGATACGCTCAGGGTGAGGAGTGATACGCTCAGGGTGAGGAGTGATACGCTCAGGGTGAGGAGTGATACGCTCAGGGTGAGGAGTGATACCTTGTCTTGTTCCAGGGTGAGCACTCGCCCCTGGTTCTGCTCCGTCGTGTTCTTGAACGAGTCATTCCTCTGCTCTAGCAACATATTACTCTGCTCCACGTACCTGCAAACAAAGACTGTTGGGGCAAGTGCCGTTGGCGAGTAGCAGCACAAATGGTCACGTGTGTGTGGTCACGTGTCTGTGGTCACGTGTGTGGTAACAAGCGTGGTCACGTGTCTGTGGTCACGTGTCTGTGGTCACGTGTCTGTGGTCACGTGTGTGGTAACAAGCGTGGTCACGTGTGTGGTCACGTGTGTGGTCACGTGTGTGGTCACGTGTCTGTGGTCACGTGTGTGGTCACGTGTGCGGTCACGTGTCTGTGATCACGTGTGTGGTAATAAGCGTGGTCACGTGCGCGGTCACGTGTGTGGTCACGTGTGTGGTCACGTGTGTGGTAACAAGCGTGGTCACGTGTGCGGTCACGTGTCTGTGGTCACGTGTCTGTGGTCACGTGTGTGGTCACGTGTGTGGTCACGTGTCTGTGGTCACGTGTGTGGTAACAAGCGTGGTCACGTGTGTGGTCACGTGTCTGTGGTCACGTGTGTGGTAACAAGCGTGGTCACGTGTGTGGTCACGTGTCTGTGGTCACGTGTGTGGTAACAAGCGTGGTCACGTGTGTGGTAACAAGCGTGGTCACGTGTGTGGTCACGTGTCTGTGGTCACGTGTCTGTGGTCACGTGTGTGGTAACAAGCGTGGTCACGTGTCTGTGGTCACGTGTCTGTGGTCACGTGTGTGGTAACAAGCGTGGTCACGTGTCTGTGGTCACGTGTCTGTGGTCACGTGTGTGGTAACAAGCGCGGTCACGTGTCTGTGGTCACGTGTGTGGTAACAAGCGTGGTCACGTGTGTGGTCACGTGTCTGTGGTCACGTGTGTGGTAACAAGCGTGGTCACGTGTCTGTGGTCACGTGTCTGTGGTCACGTGTGTGGTAACAAGCGTGGTCACGTGTCTGTGGTCACGTGTGTGGTAACAAGCGTGGTCACGTGTCTGTGGTCACGTGTCTGTGGTCACGTGTGTGGTAACAAGCGTGGTCACGTGTCTGTGGTCACGTGTGTGGTAACAAGCGTGGTCACGTGTCTGTGGTCACGTGTCTGTGGTCACGTGTGTGGTAACAAGCGTGGTCACGTGTGTGGTCACGTGTCTGTGGTCACGTGTGTGGTAACAAGCGTGGTCACGTGTCTGTGGTCACGTGTCTGTGGTCACGTGTGTGGTAACAAGCGTGGTCACGTGTGTGTGGTCACGTGTCTGTGGTCACGTGTGTGGTAACAAGCGTGGTCACGTGTGTGTGGTCACGTGTCTGTGGTCACGTGTGTGGTAACAAGCGTTGTCACGTGTGTGGTCACGTGTCTGTGGTCACGTGTGTGGTAACAAGCGTGGTCACGTGTCTGTGGTCACGTGTGTGGTAACAAGCGTGGTCACGTGTCTGTGGTCACGTGTCTGTGGTCACGTGTCTGTGGTCACGTGTCTGTGGTCACGTGTCTGTGGTCACGTGTGTGGTAACAAGCGTGGTCACGTGTCTGTGGTCACGTGTGTGTGGTCACGTGTCTGTGGTCACGTGTGTGGTAACAAGCGTGGCCACGAGCGAGGCGTGAATCGAGGACCTCTGGTTTCTCTGCAGCAGGTCGCCGATCTTCTCGTTCTGCTGCTCGATCTTGCTGCTCCTCTCGTGCACCTCCTGCTTCAAGCGCTCGTTCTCCTGCAAACCCCACGGTCATAACGACGACGTCGACAACAACAACGACAACAATTCACAACCCATCCCTTTAACTATTTATTCGGGGCAGAGTCAACCTATGGACAGGCCCCAGGCTGACCCGGCCATCACCCACCCACAGCCCGCGCCACCGGTTTTGCCGAAAATATCGCCGACGTCCACCGTGCCTCACCGCAGACTACGGCGTGGCTTAACGATCTCGCAAAGGACTACAAAGATGATACGCCTACGTATAGCCTGTAACAGACTGTTGGGGGCAAGTGCTGTTCGTAGCAAGTAGCACCGATGAATGCCGGCACGGCACACGAACGGGGCGGCCGGTCAGCACCACCACGCCGGACCGCATTTGTATCCCCCGGTGGTGATCCCGACCCTGACGCCTGCTGCTGCTGCTGTATATTTGAAGTTTGTGTGTCTCTCTCTCTCATCATCATCACGATGGCTAGGAGACGTTAACTACCTCGCCTGGTGTACAGGAGGTCGTGGGTTCGATCCCGACCCTGACGCCTGCTGCTGCTGTATATTTGGAGTTTGCGTGTCTCTCTTTCTCATCATCATCACGATGGCTAGGAGATGTTAACTACCTCGCCTGGTGTGCAGGAGGTCATGGGTTCGATCCTGATCCTGACGCCTGCTGCTGCTGTATATTTGGAGTTTGCGTGTCTCTATCTCATCATCATCACGGTGGCTAGGAGATGTTAACTACCTCGCCTGGTGTGCAGGAAGTCGTGGGTTCGATCCTGACCCTGACGCCTGCTGCTGCTGTATATCTGGAGTTTGCGGTGTCTCTCTCATTCTTTCCCCGTGGTTGCGTGGATTTTTCTCCGGGTCCTCTGGTTTTTCCACCTCCACATTTAGAATGAACATCATCATGCGTTTAGAATATGTGGCTGCTGCTGCTCTAAATTTCCACGTGATGATGATGATGATGAGCCCACTATATTGAAGCTATCATTTGTGATAGTCGAGTCGCTTGTGAACAAGATCTACATAACTCAGTGGGCCCAACGTGGTAAAATAAAACATTGTTTAGTAGTTTCAGTTAATAGTTTTTCACATTCCTCCTCCTCCTCGAAGGCACCGGGAGGAGACCATCAATTCAACAACAATCGCTCGATCACTTAAAACTAGACTAAGCTATTTTTACTTTACCAGGTAAGGCCCACTGAGCAATCATTTGTGACCAGGTCGCTTCTGTCAAGAAAATAAGTATATAGCTCAGTGGGCCTTAACCTGGCACAATAAACGTAGTTAAAGATTTAAAACTAAACGTAGTTTAGTAGTTTAGTTGGAGAGCGAATTCTAGGTGGAAAGACGTTCTCCGCATATACAGAGACGGAAAGACTTGGCAGGACCCTCCTGAAAATAAGTCTTGAGACTCACTGCCCATAGACTCAACACTACGCATAGACTCAACACTACCCATAGACTCAACACTGCCCATAGACTCATCACTGCCCATAGACTCAACACTGCCCATAGACTCAACACTGCCCATAGACTCAACACTGCCCATAGATTCAACACTGCCCATAGACTCAACACTGCCCATAGACTCAACACTGCCCATAGACTCAACACTGCCCATAGACTCAACACTACCCATAGACTCAACACTGCCCATAGACCCAACACTGCTCATAGACTCAACACTGCCCATAGACTCAACACTGTCCATAGACCCAACACTACCCATAGACTCAACACTGTCCATAGACCCAACACTACCCATAGACTCAACACTACCCATAGACTCAACACTGTCCATAGACTCAACACTACCCATAGACTCAACACTACCCATAGACTCAACACTACCCATAGACTCAACACTACCCATAGACTCAACACTGCCCATAGACTCAACACTGCCCATAGACTCAACACTGCCCATAGACTCAACACTGCACCTCGGACCAGCACAGTTGGCTACGTACGGTGCGAAAGAAGTTCAGCGTACGTAATTACACGCGTAACGATTGAAATAAAGCGTGAAGCTGCTCACACACCTGCAGGATGCGCGTGATGTTCTGCATGATCATGGCGGCGTCCATGTTGATGGTCGCCATTGCGGCCTGCGGCAGGCCGAGGCCTCCGACGCTCTGCCTGTGGATGTCGTCAACCTTTGTGGGGAAAAAACACAAAAACATCGCAGCATTTAATCAACAGAGTACATTCGTAATGAAGGTCTGTCTAACACGTGGGAGCAGGAGGCCCTTTGCGACCAAAATCATCCGTAACAGAGGGGTGTTTTTTTTTACTGGGTCCAATCGCGTAAATATAAATGCGTCGTTAAAGCCACCCACCATCCCGTAAGTTAGTTAACTAGTTCAGCACTAACCGGTTGTGTGTTGGAGAGTTAAACCCACTACAACATTCACAATTCGTTACTGGTACAGCACTAACTGGTTGTGTGTTGAAGAGTTAAACCCACTACAATATTTACAATTCATTACTAATACAGCACTAACCAGTTGTGTGTTGGAGAGTAAACCCACTACAACATTAACAATTCGTTACTAGTTCAGCACTAACCGGTTGTGTGTTGGATAGTAAACCCACTACAATATTTACAATTCGTTACTAGTACAGCACTAACCGGTTGTGTGTTGGAGAGTTAAACCCACTACAACATTTACAATTCGTTACTTGTACAGCACTAACCGGTTGTGTGTTGGAGAGTTAAACCCACTACAACATTCACAATTCGTTACTAGTACAGCACTAACCAGTTGTGTGTTGGAGAGTTAAACCCACTACAATATTTACAATTCGTTACTGGTACAGCACTAACCGGTTGTGTGTTGGAGAGTTAAACCCACTACAACATTTACAATTCGTTACTTGTACAGCACTAACCGGTTGTGTGTTGGAGAGTAAACCCATTCGAATTGTTAATTGTAAATGCTATAGTAGTTTTACTCTCCACAGACAACTGGTGTTGCTGATACTCCTAACTAATTGGCATGCTTTGTTTACGTGACACACCTTACGTGCTAGTGAAGTCTGTCACGCGTCTATCCCTCCACGTAACATTTGAAAAAAAAAGTATTTTCCGTGACTCTTCCCCATCAGCCAGCGCACCAACCTTCCACGTCTTCAGAGTCTCGATGAATATGGGTCTCTATGGGTTTCCGTGGGTTTTGGTGGGTCTCTGCGGATCTCTATAGCGCTATATTAGTTTTCTGGATCGGTGTGGGTCTCTATGGGCCTCTGTGAGTGTGGGTC